CATTCATTTATTCATTCATTCAACCAATAATTACTGAGTACCTTCTGAGTGTGAGGCAACATTGCAAACATCGTGGGATAGGAAACATCTTCATTCTGTACTATGATTGCATTCTTGGTCCAGTAAATAACTGTTTTCTTCTGGCTTTGATATTAGGTCAGAAATATGTTGTTGGTATTGAGTATCCAGATTTGAACCCATTACATTTTTAGAATTGAAGAAAGGTGAAAATGTATGTAAGCCTCTGCCTCTTGAAATCTAAACATTAATAGGAAAGAACCCCATGAGGGTTCACTCTAAACCTAAATATTTCTGAATGTATGTGATACATACAAAAGAATATTAATATACATAAAAATGAAAAGAAAAATCATATAACAAATATCCTTAAACCTACCACGAAACCCAAGAAATAGCTTATTGCCAGTAATATAACATGCTCGTCCACTTTCCTATTCCTCAACCTCTCCCATAAAGGCAGCCATTTTGGTGAGTTTTGTATTTCTCTTTGCCTTGCTTTTTTTTCTTTTTTAATCAATATTTTGCCATATATATGTATAGCAAAACTATATATTTTTTGTTTTGTCAGCTTTGGGAATATCGCGTCTCAAATTGGTATCGTACAGTCGTTTGGGACTTGCTTTTTCCATTCAGTTCCATCCATAATGTCCCATATAGTGATAGTTTATTCATTTTCACTGCTTTACTAAAGTCCATTATTTAAAAATCCTACCACAATTTTCCTGTCAATGAACATTTGGTTGTTCATTTTCTTTATATTTTGCCATTAACGATGCTGCCATGAATATTCCTGTATACGTATCCTGGTGCACATCAGTAAACATTTTTCTAGGGTAGTAGTTTTCAAACTTTAGCATACATCAGAATCACCAGGAGGACTTGAAAAAACACATTGCTGGACTTTAGCCCCAGAGTTTAACATTCAATGGGTCTGGGACCGTGAATTTTTAATTTCCGTGTGGAATTTCCAGGTGATTCTAATCAGGTTTGAGACCCACCTACTCTAAGGTCTGTATACATAGTTGTAATTACCAGGTGTAAGGTTGTGTAAATGTTCAGTTTTACAAAATGATGCCAAATTGCTTTTCAAAGTTATTGCATTTATATTCCTCCCAGTATTGAATAAACCTTCCCTTTGATCCATGTCCTCTCCAACACTTGTTATGGTTAGAATTGTCAATTTTTATTATTACCTTTCTTCACCTTAGAGTTAGTTATATCATCTTTTTCAGGATTAAAATCATTTTAATTTTTAAAATGTATTAGACTAAAAGTATAGGTAGAGTAAATTGAGTTCTACATTTAGTTATTAATTGTGTTTGGGCTCGGTGCCTGTAATCCCAGCACTTTGAGAGGCTGTGGCGGGAGGATTGCTTGAGCCAAGGAGTTCAACACCAGCCTGGCAACATAGTGAGACCTCGTCTCCACAAAAAATAAAAAAAATTAGTTGGGTGTGGTGAGCATACCTGTATAGTCCTAGCCACTCAGAAGGCTGAGGCAGGATTGTTTGAGCCTAGGAATTTGAGGCTGTGGTGAGCGAAACCCTATCTCTAAAAAATAAATAAATAAAAAATAGTTATATTATGATTAATGGTTTTGTTGGGTAAATCAGCCTGCACAAATGAAACAAGTATTTATTGATTGTGTACCATGTAATGTCATGGGGATTAAAAAAAATGTTTTAAATGGGCAGATTTTAATTTTTAAATTTAACATAGTTTACAATTTGAAAATGGATTTAAAGGCAAATTAAAATTAGCAAATCCTGCTAGGCATGGTATACCATTTACTTTCCCAAGTGGTAAATAGCTTTCATTTGTCATGGAATCTGAAGTTTAGAAAGGATTAAGTCTGAATCATAGTATAGTATAGTCTTCATAAACTTTAATAGATGTACATCTCAATTTACTCCATAAAATACTTCAGTTCTTAGTGCCTAAGTTATTAAAGTAAACAATCACAGTGACATGGAAACATCAGGTCCACATGGTGGAAATAACACACACAAAGCAAATAACCTTTATAAGCATGATTATTTTATAACTGGCCTCTCTTTGGCTCAGTATGAGGAATAAAATAGGCTCTAAAGAATAAATTAGAGCTTATATCCATGATATACAAGATTTTCATTGCTGCTTTTTCCCAACAGAGTTGTTATATAAAACAAAGTACATGTGCCAGTCTGTTCGAAACTTTATCAGTAACTTAAAAATCTTTTTCCATGTGTATGACATTTTTATGTTGATATATGTATGTATTTTTAAACCTGATTTCTAATTAGTTTATATAAAATACAGAGATTTTGAATATTAGTATTGCAATATAATTCCTTTTTTATTTGGTAGTGTTAGTATGCTTCAGTGATTCTAGTTGAAGGATAAATGCCAAGAATAGCCCTCCAAGTGAAGAACAAATATATTGGCTCAACTTAAGGGAAATTTTCAAATTTATAGAACTCTAAGATTCTTCATATTAATTTTAATTGTTTAATTGATGATCCTTTGGTTATTTCATTTAAAGGAAATTGTCAGCTGCTAGACTGCCACATGCTAAAATAATTTTATTTGTAAAACTAGTATGGTGCTATGGAGACCTTAAAATAATTTAAAACTTTCCGCCTTCATTGCATAAGTAATACAGGTTCATTATAACAAATTTGGAAAACAAAAAACTCACAATAAATCAACCATAATTCCATTATTCAAAGACAGCCAGTTTTAATAGTTATGTGAATATCACTTTAGAATCATATTTATGCTGTGTACTTTGTTTTTCAACTTAGTGGGAAAGACTTAAATACATATAACTGACTCATACCCAAAAAGGTGTGTCCTAGTTTAACACTCTGAAAGGAATGAAAATTTCACTCACCATTCAAGAAATATTTGTCAAAGGCCTGCCATAAGCCAGGCAATGTAACATTTAGCCAAGTGGATCCTTCCATTTAAGCTGGCAGCAGTAATCTTCTTGATGTCAGAGATTGGGGCAGCACTCAGGAATGTACTTCTTTAGTGCTGCTCATCAGCTTTGCCAAGGGGTGATGGTTCACCTACATTCACAGAATTAGGAGCAACTTTTTACAAATTAAAACTATTCCGTTGCACCTTTAGGGTCCGTGTAGAAAGTCAGATTGGAAAATATTTGATGAAATGGTAAATTGTTTTCGATGCCTGTGTTAGAAGTGATTTAAGTGACAATAAAAATTGAACTCAATTTATACTAGACTGTGCTCCTTAGCAGTTTTGTGGCCCACAAGGAAACACCTGTTGTGCTTTGATTGCCCTGAGAATAGTCCTTGCCAAACAGTATGTGTTTTCTGTCATATGGTCAAATTTGACTTCAATGGGGAAGAAAGGGAACACTCTATATAAAAACAACAAGCAGGGCTTGAGTTAGACTCCATCATTTTGTTATTTTGGGGTTGCTTTGTCATGGGAAAGCCTAACAGAATCAAAAACGATTTTATTTTTTGTTCTTTGTTTTCTTCTGCTTTTCAGGACAGCACTGTCCCATAGAATGTCTGTGATGATGGAGATATTCCATATCTGCACTGTTCAGTATGGTAACCATTGGCCACTTTCGCAGTTGGGCACTTGAAATATGATTAATGTAACTAATGGACTGCGTTTTAACTTCTAATTAATTTTAATAAATTAAAATTGAAATAGCCTCATGTATTTAGTGGCTTCCACATTGGACAGTGCAGCTGTAGAACATAGTGAGTGGCCATTATTTTCATTAGAAGACAACTGACCTATAGGAAAACCCAAGTCAATTATTAATATATAGAAGTGGACAGCAATTTAATTTGATATATTTTGAAAAATAAGTCATTTAAAATCTTAAGCTCTAACATTTAAGTGAAGGACAGGAGTATAACGTAGACAGATATATTAAACTGTCTATTTTACAGTATGGCCAACAGAAGTGAAAGAAATGCTGAGGGAGAAAATTGATGTTAGGGCAAGGATGGGATCATACATTGCAGAAGAAAGCCATGTAGAGAGATACAGGAAGCAAAAATAAATAAGAGGCAAAAGAAAGATTTAGAAAATTTTCTAGTATAATAGCAATCATGACAAGAACATTGATGTTGGAAAGAAGGAGCTTCTTAAACCTCCCCTCATGGCACCTTCCTGACTGTAACATTTGTTTTGCACCTGCCTTGGCTGATCTCTTAATCCTTTGCATTTTTGTTTCTTTCTTCTCTCTCTGTACTCTTTTCATGGTCTTTGCCTTAACACACCAGATTTGCTGTACGGAATGCCCTAGGTGCTGTACTTCTCTTCCCTTTCTCCCAGGAATGTGTACCTGTAATAACAGAATTACAGTCTCTGTTGCAGAGGTGAAAAATGAAAGGAAATATGGGAGACCTATTTTACTCAGGCTTCAATTATTTATGGCACGCCTGCTGTGTGCAGGACACTGTGCCAAGTCCTTTGCATTCTTTCTTTTATCATGGTAAAATATACCAAGATTTACCATTTTATTCTTTCTGTCTCCATGAATTTGCCTGTTCTAGGTGCCTTCATGTAATTGGAATCATACAATATTTGTCCTTTTATGTGTCTGGCTTATTTCACTTAGCATAATGTCTTCAAGTTTCCATATACAGCATATATATGTAGCATATGTCAAATTCGTTGCTGCTTATAGCCGAATAATATTCCATTGTATGTATATACCACATTTTGTTTACCCACTCATCTGTTTATGGACACTTGGGTTATGCATTGTTGTTTCATCCACGTAGTTCCCTTTACATTGTTCTTGCCTTTAATCCTTCCCCAAAATGTCGCAGTTGGCAATACTCTTCTGGCTTTCATCCTTCAGATCCAAGAAAAAAAATTGGAATCTGAGTACCCTGCTTTTGAATGACTGCACCCTCATGTTAGCAAGCAACTCCCTTCGTGACCTGTTATTTACTTTATTTATTTAACTAAAAATTGTCTACCATACACCAGTCACTGGTAGAGAACTAGCCCTGGTCCTCATTTCATGTGACATCTTCATGCAATATTCTTCTGAAGTCCATTAACTGGTCATGCCTCATAGCTTCTCATCTACTCTTTACTTACAACTTTCAGAGGTCCTAATTGGTAGTGGTACAAGTATACATCTCAGCCACCGGGAGCCCATAGTTACAGTTAACGACCAGAGCACAAAATTCACTTACATGTAGATTCTCAGTCCCCTGCTTAATCAGTTGCATGTAATCTTACACATACATCAGACTGTGCCTGATTCATTGTCACCCAGCTCTTTGATGTGTTCATAATGTTAGATGCTAAAATCTGGCTTTTATAAAATAATGAATATGAATAGTTATTGAAGAATTAAATGAGGTGGAAAGTTATATTTTCTATGGTGGTTGATACAGTAAAGATATAATAAACAGCATTAAGTCATTCCTATTTTAAAAATGAACCATTCCTATAACAAAGGAGAAATTTAAGAATAACATAGTAAGTTCTTAATTAGTCTCAGGAGGCACTTAACTAAGCTCTTATCGTGCATTAACTCATTTCATCCTCATAATAACCTTTTGAGGTAGGTGCTACTGTTTTTTTCATTTCTACTTAAAGCAACAGAAGCATAAAGAGGTTAAGTTATTTATCTCAAGTTGACAGCTAGACTGTGCCAGAATCTAGATTCGAGTACAGGTCTATCTTCAGAACCGGAGTACTATTAATATTTAACAGACCTTAAGATTGTAGATTGGTTTTAGTCAGAGGTGATTTCTTTTTCTCTAATTTTAGTATTCTGCAGTCAGCAGTGTTAGGCACTAAGTAAATGTATGAGTCTAGAAGAAAAGGGACACTGTAAAGAACTTCTTGAAATCTCCTTTTATCTGATAATCTGATTTTTTAGTTCTGTTTGTAGTGTGATGATTTATAATTTGTGAGTGATGAAATTTATTAAATAAGTTGTTCAAATTAATCTGGTGTGTTTACAGGTAGTTGCTGTATATGGAACTTTATCCGATTTGCTTTCTGTGGCCAGCAGTAAACTCGGCATCAAAGCCACCAGTGTGTATAATGGGAAAGGTGGACTGATTGATGATATTGCTTTGATCAGGTAACCTTCACCTTTTTATAAGCTGTCAACAGTGTGTCTCATCTTCCTGGTGCTATGCTCTTTCCCTTAAGCAGTAGTTTAATCACTGTTAAGTGTGCAGGATTTTGGCAAGTGATTGCCTAGTATTTGCTCTTTGAAATTTAAGTTATTTGGACTTAGGGCATATTGATCAGATAGAAAACCCTTAGTGTATTCCAGTATACCTATAGTCTTTCTGCATAGTTCATATATGGCTATGAGGAATTTCTTCTTTGTGGTACTAGAGATGGACCTAATAAGACATGCAGATTCCAATGTTAAAAATCTAATTATCACTTTACTTTTATATGCAACTGTTTATTTTTAAATTCATTTCCTAAAAATGCTTCAAATTTTATAAGCATTATAGAGATCAGTTTTTGTGAGAACTTGCTAAATATGGTAGAACTCTAGGCAGAGATATCATAAGTGATCCACCCCAATAGTGGGCTTGTTTGTTTTTTATTTTTTAAATATCCTAGGCAGATTAACAGAAGTGTGTAGTTCACCTCACTCCATCTTCACAGGGTGGAATTTGGAGCAGGAAGAGACTTAACAAAGAAGATAGTGAAGGGAACACAAATTGAGTACTGACTATGCCAGTTATAGTTGCTTTGCCCAAGTTATTTAATTGGCAAAGCATGGGTTTTTTTAATTGGTGATGTGAAAATGATGATGCTCTAAATTATAGGGTATACAAAGTTCAGTCTCTGTATAAATCCAGATCAGAATGAACTTTCAATATAATACACTGCCTTTGAAGTTAATAGGTTCTAGTCCCTTCATTTTATAGATGAGAAAACTGAGCATCTGTGAAGTTAAGTGACTTACCCAGCTCATATAGCTTAGCAGTTGATTTTTGTATGAAAATAAATTTTTATACTAATCTGAAAAAGTTAACTGGAATGGTGAACAAGTAGAAAATATTATAGGCTACATTTGAAATCCAAAGAAGGGGAATTTCTTAGCTTTTTTATATCTTTCTCCCAGCTTCTTTCAGTTTCTAAGGATAATTGAGTCCCATTGTTGGATGATGTGCATCAGCCTAGCTTTCTCCTTCACAAACTACAGACTCTGCTTAGAAAAACTCAAGTGTTCCTCTGATGTCCTATAGGAAATAAAAAAACTTCTACAAAAGAAGGTCATAACTGAAGCCTTCTGAGCTATAAAATAGCTACCTGTTTATTCAGTTTTGGTTCACGGTACAGTCTGTGATCATTTATTTATACGAATCATGTGACAGTTTGGGGCAGAGGAGGGGGAGGATATACACCGATAATCCAGAACTGTGAGTTATGTGTAATAATTTACATCGGGTCTATGGTGGATGTGTTGTGGGTAAGTGTTTATAGCAGAGTTACTTCCAGCTATATTTTTCCTAGATTTAATATGAAGCTTTATTTCATTTCCAAAGCACGTAGCAGCTAATGATACAGAAGAGAATCTCAATAATTTAATTAGGGGTAAAAAATTAAAATAAAAAAAAAGACTTGGCTATGCCTTTAATCATATCCTTTGAGCATAATAGTACATTCTTCAATTAATAAACTGAATTTGCATAACTCGTATAGTGGAATTTTTTTTTTCTATTTTGAAAGTAATTTCCTGTATAAGATCTTATTTTTGAATTTAAATCCAGGGATAGTTAAGTTGGGGGGTGGGTAAAGCACTGGAAACGTAACTTCTTTGCTGTATAGATTGATAGCCAAACCATAATTGTGCAGGGGTTTTAAATTAAAGATTGATAGCAAAACCTATTTTATATAATTCTAAGGAACCATTTCTATAATCAACAGATGATCAATGTGATTTCTAGATTTTGACGGTGGCTTTTTAAATTTTGATTTTCCCAGGGATGATGATGTTTTGTTTGTGTGTGAAGGAGAGCCATTTATTGGTAAGTGACTTTCTTAAAAGCCAGTTTTGTTTGCCAAAATAAGAAAGATGAAATGGCACATATTTTAAACAAGGTTATTAAGCTTAACATTAAAAATCTTGTGGCTATATTCAGACCTTCACACCCTTTTTGAGTCTGCATTGTGGGGGGTGTTAAGTTTTTTATTTGAATTACATGATCATATTTTGATATGGATACTTCATATTTTACATGTCTTTAAAATGCTCTGGAGGTGTATATATTGGTTAGCTATAATGTGATAGGGTAGTTTTGATTTTAGAAACTACAGTTTTGTTTTGACATTTTTTTCTCTGATAGTAATTGTCAACATTTCTCTTAAGTATTATACCACATATTTCTAAGCAAATATTGCTTGCATAAGTAGTGTTTGACAATCCTTCACAGTGATCAGATCAGTCAGTAATTTGGCATCACCTGTACACACAGGCACACACACACTACCCTTTGATTTGGAAGAAAGTTTATACAATTGTGTATCTCAAAAGAAAAAACCTAAAGCTTAAGTAAGGTAAATATTCTTTTAAAAGTATTTGATTTATTTAGTTCCATACAGTCACACCCGGAATATCTGTTTACTTATTCTTTAACGTATGACATTAATCGTATTTGATGCACAGAAGTAGTTCTCAGGATTGTTGCTCAGGCACTTGCCAACTTGTAAGTAAGTGCATTCTCTTCTCTGTCTTTAAACTGTGAGCAAAAATTCTTCCTCATCTTCTTTTATCTGCTGACCTAACAGTGGTTGGCAGACAGTACACACTTAATTGGTTGACTGCATAGAAACAAACAAAATGAAAAGTAATTAATTAAGGTTTGGTTTTATTTTTGTTCTATTGTTATGAACTCTTGGATTTAAAAATATTTGGTGTGGTTTCATCCCTTGCATTTATTGATGTTCAGATTGTCTTACTTTGGCCATAGGAAACCTCTTTAAGTCCTTTTAACACAACCCCATTTGTCTTTTATAGATGTCTTATTATCTAGAATAACAAGGTATTCATCTTAACCTTTTCCTGTCCCAGACCTGGATTACATTTTTTCCAAGAAGCCTTGATTTCTTTTAGTGAGAAGTGTCATTTCAAGACACTAGGTGCTAAGGAGGCTCTTTGCTGTTGTGTTCATCATCATTACTAGGCCTTTTGGGGGACAGAGTTGGAAATATATAGCTAGCTAGAAACAAAATTTATATATAATGTACATATTATTGATATAAAGTTTATATGTCATATATGACTGTGGTCCCCAACCCCCGGGCCACGGACCAGTATTGGTCCATGGACTAGTACCAGTCTGTGGCCTGTTAGGAACCCGGCCACACAGCAGGAGTTGAGCGGCAGACGAGGCAGCGAAGCTTCATTTGTATTTGCAGCCACTCCCTATCGCATCACAGTGTGAGCTCCACCTCCCATCAGATCAGAGGTGGCATTAGATTCTCATACGAGCAGGAACCCTACTGTAAACTGCACATGGAGGGATCTAGGTTGCGCTCCTTATGAGAATCTAATGTCTGATGATCTGAGGTGGAGCTGAGGTGGTGATGCTAGTGCCGGGGAATGGCTGCAAATACAGATTATCATTAGCAGAGAGGTTCGACTGCACAATAAATGTAATGTGCTTGAATCATCCCGAAACCATCCCCTCCCTGTCTGTGGAAAAATTGTCTTCCATGAAACTGGTCTCTGGTGCCAAAAAGGTTGGGGACTGCTGAATAACATAAGATATGGATGGACTTAGTATCTCATGGGTTCATATATTTTTTTTTTTTTTTTGAGACAGAGTCTCACTCTGTTGCTGTGGCTAGAGTGAGTGCCGTGGCATTAGCCTAGCTCACAGCAA